ATTTCTCTGTTTTGTTTTATCGCATATTAGGTGGTAATAATACAAAATTTTGGATGATGCACCGGACATGCATCAAAGGATGCATATTGAAACCTTATATTGTACGGATAAGGACTTTTATCCATATCTGCGCTAGGTGTTTAATCGGACTTTTTCACCGTCATGAATAATATTTTCAATTTGTGGAAGTGGTGACAGTGACCCTTGTTTTCTAGCTGTGAAGAAAAGTACATCGCCATATGTGATCGGAAAAATCATCCTTTGAAAACTTCTTCGTTTGTTCCATGCAAGTTGACACTTTTGGTCAAGTTGAACTTGGGTGGTGATTTGTATGGTGGATCTTTTAAACAATCCTTGAAATCGAGTCAAGCTTTAAATCTTAGTTTTCAATTGAAAGAGCAATCAGTCGTAGAAGTAAAAAAAATGTATCCAAATATGGGACCAATTCCAATCCAAAATTATTGATACAGCATTAAATTTCATAAAGTGAGACATTGGCTATTTGAACTTTAGCATTGTGTAACCACAGAGTATTAATATTGTTGAAATGCATTGAGTTTTTTCTTCATTTATAGAAGTACAAGTGGTTGATGTCGAAAGTAAAAAAAAAAAAAATATTTAAAAAAACGTATGGCTGTCCGTAGTAAGTCTGTAACCAAATGATTCTGTTCCCATTCACCACCACCTTCCCTAATAAGCGTTTTTTCCTTCTTGATCGAATAAATATCATCGCTGATACGTGTCTGTTTTGCATTTCAGTCGACAAAATGGTTGCACGAAACTCATTAGCATAAAAAAAGCGTACAGTATTTGATACAGATTCGAACACAGTGGTCACTCGGTGCAACACTAATTCGCCGCGATTCGAGTGCACACTATCAAATGTTGTAGGTGTCGTGTTTATCTTACCAATGAAATCGTATGAGTGACACAACGAATCATAGTGAAGCAAGCGAATGGATTTCGGTTTTGCGGTGCAAATCATTTTTACCTTGGGTGGTCTCCGTTCGTTAGCTGCTGCTTGTGCTGCTGTAACTTTTTTTGTTGTTCACCGATCGCACATAGCACACAAACGAATACTGTAGCGCAAGCATTGGATGTGTCATAGACAATAGATTATGCTAATGGAGCTTATCAGTTGCATGAAATTGGCATGAATTTAATTGAAATTAAAATAGCTTAAATGATAAAATGTAAGAAATAAACATTAAAAATTCAATGAAAATGAAATGGAAGAAAATCCGATTTACAAACAATTCGTCTTAGCGGTTGTAGGCTATTGGTCTCCGGTTGCGACAGCCAAAACTCTCAAGACGAGCAGCAAATCGATAAAATGAAAAGCCTTCGACAAAAACAACGGATTGAAACGTGTGTATGGTCTCTGCTCCACTCTCTGTGCATGAAAATTATTCAAAATATTCCATTTAATCTTATAATTGAAATCTCGGGCCTGTATTTTACATGTTTGAATGTTCGTAATCCAAGTGTGTGCGAATGATATCACTTTGGTGTGCAATGGTTTGGTTTGGCTGTTGTTTTTCCTCCTATTCAGTTGGTTCCTTATCAAGCCAAAGACAACGGAGACTGTCGACTTCTGTGTGTATTTGCATAAATTAATCGTTCCATTTATGTTCATCAATTTTAATTGGTATGAACACTATACATATTCAAATCTATATGTATGTGGCTCCGGAGAACGATCGAGAGAGTGCGAGCCAAATCAACGAGACAGCCAAATGAAATGAAACAGAACGGCAGAACAAAAAAATCGGATTGCAAATAGCATATTGGGAAACATGTTTGAAACTAAAAACAGAAGAAGAAGAAGAAAAGGCATCAACACACTTTTGAATACTTTGCTTTTGTATCATCGTATTTTCTCGCATCGTTTCGCTTGATTTTCTTCTTCCTCCTCGCGAATGGCATTTGGCGTGCATTGGGCTTGAGTCAACTTTAAATTAAAGAAGTATGTTTTTGATTGACTATCTCATATGCGCTGAGCGACGTGTTTATATCATTTACAATTACTTTTGCTGCTGCTGTTATTGCTGCTGGTGCTCAATTCATGGATATATTTTACCATTGACATTACAATCTTGTGCACTCATCGCGATCGCGCTTCCACCTCGAACGATCGGCCAAACGGTGGACCATTCGTTTTTTTATAATTATTTTTTCGTTTCGTTGTTGTTTTTCTCGGGTTGTTTGTCTTTCTGGAATCAGTGCAGTTTGATATGAATGCAGATTTGTTCGATCCAAGAACAACAACTGGCTAAACAACGACAGCGAAATTTTTTCGTTAATATTTGCAAATGTTTAGCGTCCAAGTTACGTGTACTTGTACGTGCCGGGGATTAAGCGCGATTTTGATATTAATGCATTTTATTCGGTGAGCCCAACGGCTGGATGTTGGTATCGCAACGAAGGAATGAGAGAAAAACCAACAACACATATTTGCACATCCACACAAATGGGCCAAATCGAAATGTGGAAACAACTCGTAACGCATGCGATCAAACTTAATTTACAGAAGAATAAATGACGAGTTAAAGCGCAAAAATGTGTATTATCGTAAAATTTAACGAAATGCAAATGAGGCAATTAAATTGGAACATACTTAATTTTACTTATATGCGCGCACACACACTCTCTTTACGCCTTGCGTTTCATGGAAACGAAAATTGGCGAACGAAAAACCAACAACCGGCAAAGAAATGGAGAAAAAAAAGTCCGCAAAAAAGAGGCACAGTTGTCGTTGTTATGCCTCACACAGAAAAGAATCAAATAAAAAACACACTTTGTGACCTCATCGCGTATTTTTACCTAAAAAATATGTCAACATCAGAATCGCTTTTGAACTTTTCAGCATTCGCTGTATGCATGTGTGGATGTGCTTTTGTTGCGTTTGCCATTTGTTTACGAGGCGAGGCTCTCTTCACATTTTATCTTCGATTTTATGGAGTAGCGTTTCGTTATGCATGTTTCGCACATTAAATTCATTTGGCCATTAATGTAAAAGGCTGTTTTCTTTAATTAGAGAGAGTGAGAGCAAAAAATCGGGAGACCGAAGAAAGGAAAAGACAGAGAGACATTTCATCACTGCAATTTGGATCGATTGAGTGAAATTAGAAATGTTTGTTTGATGTGCTGTCGCACCCTTGCGAAACCATTCAACGAATTAACCAGCCAAAGTTCAATCGACAGAAATTTACATGTTCTTGTCACATGATTCACATTTTCCGACCGGGTCAATTGCACGGCGTCATCGACTACAACGACAACGACGAAGCCACAGATAGCCTCAGGCCTGAAGATGTCCCGGGCACATTAACAAAAGCCTTGATCAATTTCAAAAGAGATCAAGAAAAAAAGAGCCACGCAAACACATTGACAAAGAACGGAATAATGATCGAAACGAAGCCAACAAACGTGAAACAAATAAGATGAACAGACGTCACATCAAAAGGAGTGCTCAGGAACAAAAGCACGTTGTTTTCTGTCAAATTATCAAACAAACTTATCATTTTGCATTACGAATGTCTCCAGAGCATTACCAGCAAATGATGAACGTACACCAAATGAAAACGACAACCGAAGACAGAGAGCGAAAGAAAGGGGAAAAAACAACGAGTACAAGAGAGACAGAAAAAAAAAACCCGAAGAAACGAAAGATAGACGCTATTCAAAGGTATTAAAAGAAATGCTCAAACGTGATGCAGCAAAAAAAACCACCCAGATTAAATAATGTGTGCTTGCTCATGTGTACACGATGTTTGCATTCGCGCGCCGCGCGCACATGTTTGCTGCTGCTGATTCGCGACTGATTTGTATATTCCTTCAGCGCATTGATGGCTGCTTATTTATATATTAACAAAAGATCTGCATACTTCTTGACGTCGGTGCCTCTCGAAAAGAGCGGTTCATCACGCGTTCACAATGACGAGAAAGCGAGAGGGGCCGCGATCATCGCGATCGGCAGGCGACCGACGATGACGACGACGAGCAAGTAAAGCGGTATGCTTGAAGTGTATGTATATGCATTGAATGTTGGAAATGCAGAAAAAATAAGAGAACGATGCCTAACCAGATCGCAAAACCAACGATTTTGTATCCCATCGAATCACTTAGAAAAAAAAATATATCAGAAAACAATGTACTCGATGCGATCGGCTTTTGTCTCTTGGTTTCTTTCAATATGTTTCCCTCTCTCTGTCTCTCCGTGTGTCTCTTCTGGTCCCACTTCGTCACCGCTATCTGATTGTACCTTTTTTCTGCGGTGGCCGTCATCGTGCGAGATGTGGTGTGGTTAAGCACAGAATATTTTTCATATAGAGATGTCATGTGTATTGATTGTGTGTTTGGGTATGCTCGCGCGCGCTGCACAGTGAAATAAAAACGACGGATGACTGCAATTGTGTTGTTCATTATTTTTAATAAATAAATTAATGCGTAGGCGGAAGCATCACTCGGTGTATATTTTGTTTGTTTGTTTCTCTCTCTCTCTCTCTCTCTCTCTCTCTCACAATAATACTTATCTGCATCGTTTTTGCTTTCTGTCGTTTCGATTCACTTCTCTGGATGGTGCTGGCTAGCTCATTCGAGATTTCAATCCTCATAATAAACGCGCTGTGCCGGCTGTATCCATTTAATATTTTCACTGTACGTCAATTTAAAGTTAACGAGCGCTGAGTAACCAGCCCGAGCCGACATTGACGTGCGTTCAATTAACAATGTCTTCTCTCTCTCTCTCTCTCTCTCTCTCTCTCTCTCTCTATCTCTCTCTCTCTCTATCTCTCCCATTTTAATTACATCGTTGATTGAAATGTCGGTCTCTCTGCACCGACACCCATACACACACACTTTCTGCTTAAATAACACATGCGAATTAAATGATTCATTCTGATTTGCTTGGCTATTGTTTGCGTTGACTTACCTTTGAAGTTCTCTCTAGCCTATATCGGTAACAGATGTGTAGAAGTTAACAAAAAAAACAACTTTGCTTCATTTCAGTAGATCAATATTTATTTAGCTCTTGATTGAAGACTAGTAGCATGTACTATTCGATTCTATAAACTTAAATTGTTTTTCGTTATCTAAATTGTAATTCTAAAACAAAATCTTGCAATTATTTCACATGTTAAATTTTAAATAAAAAATAAAGTCGCTTATTTTCGAAATAATGTTTGAAACAGTTATTAAATGTTTTTTTTTTTTCGTAGAATTGAGTCAACTTTCGTATTTATTTACAATCACAAAAGTTTTTTTTTCGTTTTCTGTTTTGCTTCCAATATAATTCTAGCTAAGACGCTTTTTTTAGTTATCAATAGCATAAATATTGTTAAGAGAAACGATCGAGTCGAATGCGATTTCTTGGAGAAGTGCACCTTCGCTCGTTACAATTTATAAAAGCGATTCCTATGTTCACATCACATTACAGTTTTTTTTTTTGCATGTATCTATTCTTGTTTTTGTTTTGAAAATTGTAATTCTGTCAACTTTTCAACATTTCGCTTTCGGTTCCGAGAGAAGACGTTGTTAGTGTCCCATACAAGTGTATGATGGGAGAATCTCATCGAAAAAGAGAAGACAAAGCGACAAAACGCAAATGGTGTTGAATTCTGCAGCTGTGGTCCAAAAGCAACTAAATTAAATGGCTCATTTTCTTGAAATAAAATGCTTCTATTTTTGGGTTCGATTAAAATTTGTGTTTCATAACATTGAAAAAAAAATCGGCCGAATGAGGCAATTTAATTCCATTAAATGCAAAATTCAAAACTGTAGCTCTTGAATTTCGAATGTGTTTTTTTGTTCAACAAAATCTTTTACGCTAAGATATTTTCAATACTTCAACAAGTATCAATCTGTTTATTATCACAGCTAACAATATGTTTAGTTGTATCAGGTATATACAATAAATTCGCTTATTCGTCTTAATATGGAACACGAATAAAGCCGTCCCAGTCGATAAAAATGCAGCAAATTTGGTAAATATGAAATTATCGTAATTTTTCGTTTTATTCAACCATTCAAAGAAAAAGTTGGGCCGTTTTTTTTTCTTGGGCAATTTTCAAAATTTAAATTGTTGCTAGCACTTTTATAGGCGCTGGGAATGCCATGCAATAATGTTCGAATCAATTTTGGATAAGCAATTGTTCGACAGTTATATCCTACGTGATAATTGGTGTAGGTGGTTGGTCAAGAGCCTTGTAATTCTGTTCATTTCGTACGGTTTGGTATTTTCTGAGGTATCAAACCTGAAGTATAACAAGACTTTGTTCGTGCATTTTTTTCCTTTCGTATGGAATTGATCTAATTCCATGCTATATTTTATATACACTTACTTATCGATGAAGTAATCATTTGTTTACTAGTAAAAAAACATAAAAAAATTTCCTGATTTCAATCATTTTCACTCGAGCGGTTGCAGAGCAGCAGACATTGGGTGTTCAGTTCATTTGTAGCGCTTGCGGTGAACAGAGTTGACCATTGGCAAGATTTGGATACAGATGGCAATGAAGACTCAAGAATCGTGTTGGATCGATTTTGTCATCGAATCCATCGATGAGCACAACGTTGGTGTTGTTTTTGATGTGGCCATAACTGAATGTGACCTGTTCTTTGAATGTTTCTTTTGGCAAAATGTCCATGGGTTCCAAATGCGAATGAAACGTTTCGATCACAGTCAATGGCACTTTCAGTAGGTGTTCGATGATGTAGCCCATCGTTACATCGTCGGGCAATCCAATGCGATCACCGATCGACATGAATTTACCGAAACCAGCGATCGGTAGCATTTTCAATGCCAACGCTCGGCTGATGCAAAAACCGGCGCCACCTGTTGCAAACACAAATGAAATTTTCTTGTGCGGCTGCTTTTCATCGTTCTGCAAAATTGTACGAGAAGAAAGAGAAAAACAAAGGAGAGACGGAAAAATTAATAACGAATGCATAGTACATATAAAAATCGACTGGATATACATATATATCGATGAATAGCAAAATGAATAATAACGAGGATAATAATCATATATGGACTGAGACACAGATAGAAGGAAAGATCGAAATAATTACTAAATAGAATCTAGTTAATTGAATAAACGATACTCACATTATCTACATAAATTTCGAGCGGTGAAGCGATGCTCGGCTTTCCCAAATACCAATCCATCGTTGGACTGTAGTTGCTGAGAAGTTCAACTAATTTTGGTATGTTCACATAGTTGTCGTCATCAAAATGACAGAACCATCTGTAATTAGACAGAGAAGAACACATATTTAGTGATTTAAAATACTTTGCGAATGGAATTTGGTTGCGTTTGGAATGCGTGTGTTTGTGTATAGCATTATGTAACATATTCTGTTCGGCGAAAGAATGTGCAAACACAAAAAAAAGCTGTGGCACAAATAAACTAAATATAATGTATATAAATCATGTGTTTGTGACATTGTATTCCTGTTTCGCACAGTTTTAAATTGCGCTACCCTTGTCAAACAAAGACTTAGAATTCTTTTTTCGGTTCACAAATCCATCGTTATGAGACATCGACGAACAACCAGCACAATTATTTATTATTTATGAGTTCTTCATTTTTGACACCCTTCTCGCATTCTCAGCGCGCACACACAAATTGAATATTCCTTTCGGCTGAACGCGATGCGAGAAAGAGCCACGAATGACTCGATATTGGAGTCATCGTTTCAAGCAAAAATCATTTTAAGCAGATTAACCGTATGGGAGCGTGTTTGTTTTTGCACACCATGTTGTTGTTGTTGTTGCTCGTTCTGTGCGAGAGATGTGTGCAAAGTCAATAATGTCGACATGTGAATGAAGGCGTGTAATTCGAATAGATGTTTCTTTAGTAAACACAAAAGCTATTTTCATTGAATCGCTATAAGGCAACGCGCTATGAATATTAGAAATGAGTTTTTTTTACTTCCCAGTAGCGACATGATTAAGTGGAAACGATATAAAATTGAAAAAAAAAAAACGCGGATTGACTTCTTCAAATAAAAAAAAAACACGAAGAGAAGAGTTCGTCGAGTGCCGCCAAATGTTCAATCTTAATAAACAGAACATATCGGGTTTTATTGTTTAATCCTTTCCCATTCATAGATGGACATTCAAATATAATTCACGCAGCGAATCGAATTACAAATGAATGGCAAACACTTCTCATTCAAAATGAAAATTACACTCGATCGAAATTATCCTGTGAGGTATTGGACCCTTCATTTCGAATCAAAACAATTTGTGTGGTAAAAAATGTTCATTCACACAAATTCCTTCAAATAAGATAAACACATCGACACATGTTAATGTCAACGAGGAATTTCCGTTGCCCAAGCACGAGAGAAAGAGAGGAAGGAACGAAAAAATTACTCATCGAATCATTGCATATTTTTATCGTTAAATCCGTAGCGCACGAGCTCTTTGCTCGCTAATGTGATCTCATGTGAGCGTGCAAAAACAGAAGTTATATTATTATCGAATGACGTATCGGTCACGTAGACTAAACAAATCATAATTGAAAAAGCAACAAAAAAAAATCAACGTTTAATTTTAGTATTTCAACGAAATGCAAAATTTACTCTTAGCGATGCTTTCCCGAAACGATTCAGAGAATCCGAAATGATACACGCCATTTGTGCGAAGAAATGTCACAGGCCAAGAGCAGAGAATTTACGACACTAAAAACTAAAGCGAAAAAAAGGAATTGAATTCGAATTACCATTGCGAGAGTGACATAATGGAATAAGTCGATGCCGAAAAAAATAACACTCAAAACAATTTCTTGTGAACAAAAATGAAATAACGATTTAGAACCGAGAGACAAAAATAGCAACAAAGACTGGATAGTAGTCCTATCATAGGACAGAAATCAACTGGCCAACCGCGATGCCATTAAAGTCAGTGAGTCAACGGTTGAAAATTGAAAAGTGTCATGATTCAATGGTGCATAAAAAACAACGGGCTTGGACGAATTATGTGTGTGTACAAAGTAATTTGAATGTGAACTGACATCGGACATGAGCAACCGCCGAGTTTTATCTGTTGCACAAAATTTCGTAATAACTTTTCTCATTGACATGTGACAACTTAAGAGTGGAAAAAAAGCAGTAACCATCGCCGAGAAAGAAGTTTTAAAAGAAAATTACAGTCGTTTTTTTCTCGTGCGATTGAGTTAAACATCAAAGCTTCTTGCCATTTGTTGCTTGAGTTTAGCCTTTTTGTCTGCGCTGGTTTTATTCGTTTTTTTTCTGCTTCTCCTGTAAATTTATATGCATATTTTCGAGCCGCAAAAAGGCTGAGCGCTTTACACACAGTTACAGTTATTGAGCATACATGCAATTAAATGCTTGTAAGTACTCATATGAAACGTAAAAAGTGGCGACGCATTCGTACATATATTGCCATGGTCTTTACACTAAATCCAATGTTAACTCCATGTTGATGCAGTCAGATTATAATGTAACGTGTGCGACTCATCGCTGCACATTTAAAATATGCATCATATTTTCCGTATGAACGAAACACACACACACACACACACACACACACACACACAAAGTTATGAAAATAAACGAACGCGGTGGAATCCGCGTAAAATGAATTTAAGACGATAAATTTGCGATATATTTTTTATCTCTTTCTTTGTGCCTGCAAATGGAGCGTGCATTTGTTATTTTACTCGGTCTTCTTTTTTTTCTGTTTCATCTTGTTGCCGCGTTTAGCCTTCATAAGTACGCATTAATGTTGCATTGAATTGCATTAAGCGTTTTAAGTAACGTAACATCTGTGATGTGCTTTGTCTCATCAACATAGATCTAGCAACTAAATGACGGAGTTGGAAGATGGAAGACCTTATCGATTTAAATCAACAGGTTCAATGATATTAAATGATATGTTATCATCCTTATGCATAACATGCGCTGGTATGGCGTCTTTGTTCTTGTACAAAACACAAAACAATTTGAATCGATTTGATATATAAATTTATTGAAATGAAGAAGAAGAAGTCGTAGAAGAAAACGTTGATTTTACCATAATTTAGTGCCATCGATCGAGATGAAAAGGAAGATTATGCCGTTGAAATTGGCAGCGACAGTGGTTAAATTTATGTTTGCCATTATATTGTAATCAAATAGAAAAGCGAGAGAGATAGAGAGAGATCGAGAGCGAGAGCCAAATTGATTCGGTCGCGTTTTGTGTGCGCGCTCGTTCCTTCGCCACATGAAGTATTACGATCTTTTAGACTACATAATTTTAGTTGATTGGTGTTAATAATGCTCGCTGTCACACATTTAATGTGCACAATCGAAATGTACAACGCGACTACATGCAAATGTATGTAATCTGTTTGGTTGTTTTTTTTTCTTCTCCTCTTCATTCTAGCTCGCTCTTTCTTTCACTCGGTGTGTGCATTCTATGTCTTAGCGTAATAATTGCACACATTTTACATACAATTTTCGTTTTTCTTTCTTCTGGTATTTTTTCTTTATTTTATTCTGTTTATGGTTGCGCATAAAATGTGATGTGGTTGCAGCTGTGCACTTATTTCAATGAAGCGAGATCAACAAATGTTCACTGCAGTCGCTGTTGTTGTTGCTATTGTTGACTTGCAACACGGCGTTGGACGACATCGAACCAGGAGAAAAGGAGCAAAAGAAGAAAAAAAACTGAGAGAGAGGGAGAGGGAGAGAGAGAGACGTCGACTTTAAAGAGAAAAAACCGGTAAAATAGTCAATAGTAATACTATTGTCGTTGCGAAGTCAAGTCATAAAGTAATGCGCGAAATGGCGAAAAAAAGCCGTAGCGTGAAATATTTGAAACGACATTCAAAATAATATGCGAGACATGTATCGGTCTTTTTGCAAAATGTATAACAATACCCGGGCTGCGAGGCGAGAGCGCGTAATGCATTTTGTGGTGTGCCGAATGCACGCGCGAGCGCGGTAAAAGTACAAATCCCATATCGAAGTACGAAATGCACACACACACTTTATCTTTTTGGTTGTGAATATACAATTCGCACACCGAAATTCGATAACTTCGATCACGTGGTCATTCTCGACAACAAAGCAATAAATTATTTATATGTTCGGGTGTGTTGTGCTTGTCGTCCATGGGCGCGCGCATCCACACACACACACATACACGCTTTGAATATGATCATTTGTTTTGCGTACCGCCATCGTATCTCTTGGAAAAGTGAAACAAACAGCAAACGCAAAGAGAGCGAGAAAAATTGTGCACGCATTCAATGGTCATTTGCATTGATATTTATAGTTGCAGCAGGAAAAAAAGCAGAAATCAGCGCGCGCATGCGGTGGAAATGCGTTTTGGACGTGGGTTGATGGTGCTTTAAAGTGACACTTTTGCTTTATGGAAACGGTATGTGCGCACCGATAATTTTCAGTGGAATCTGTTCATAAATATATGGATGAAGTCGGCGATATTTCTGAAACTGCTATGTTGCGAATACGGATCGCAACTTAGAAAATATAAATACACATCCTTCTGGATATGGAAGTGATTTGGGATCGAAATTCAAAACGAAGAAATAAAAAGAACAAACTAATTTGATTTCCGCTTCTAATTTTCCACTTTGGCCCCACCGAATCGAATTAATGGGTCGATATCGACTTAATTGGCCCGACTCCAGAAGTACTAGCCCATTTATTCTTGTGCCACACAACACTGATAAATGGCTTCGCCCGAGCGTATGCTGCATATAACCTCCACCGTTGATTTCGGACCGGGTTATTAGTAAATAGTACAACGCGCGCGGCTTCACACCGATTGATCAACCGGGAAAGAGAGAGAGAGGCAGCGAACAAGAAAATTAAATAAATACCGAACAAACATTTTGCTAACATAAATAGTGACTCATTAATTATACACGCTGGTTGTGTGCGATTGTGTGTCTAACAAATCGAATGAAAATGTCAGGGAGCTGAAACGACGAGATGTGAATTGCTTGCACCGATTAAGCAACAAGTAATTGGTTAAAATTCTCAAAATAACTACCATCACAACACAATTAAATATTATTCTGATGAGATTTGTGTGTGTCTGTGCCGGTTAAATAAATAATTTGGCGATGTTCGTGGTCATGTTAGCTGCTGATGCGTTGAATACCAACACAGTGTGCAACTAGAAAATGGAACGAAGAGCAAGTCTAGAGACCAGAAAAAAAAACAAACTACGAAGCGAAAAATTCTCACTCTCTCATTTAATTCAAGGCGC